TCAGACACTAAGACTAGCAAAACAGTTTCTGTCAGTCCTATACAGGAGAAGCTCAATGGCTTGAACAATACTGAGATTTTTAGACAAAAAGGTGGTGGGAATACTATTAAAAAGTTGCTATGCCTCTTTCCCTTGTTAGAGATCCGATTTTGCTTTCCTACTCAGACAAAAATACCTTTGATTTTAGGCCCTTGTAGAAATTCCTTTTGAAAATTTTCAGCTGACTCCACTTGGCAGCTAGGTTTACGAAGGAACATTTTTATCTGTTTCCAGTCTTCTGGGGCTACTGGTTATTTGGTGAAGAGCATTTGAGCTAATGGAGCTCACTTGAATTCCCCTTAGGAATAAGATTCTTTCCTGAATAAGAACTGCAGGATCAGTTATTAGCTGTTCTGCTGAATAAACTGAATACCCATGGAGCTTTTTAGCTTCTCCTTTGTGAAACCCATGGCTTTTTGAAAGGTCTGTGATGGTTCTGGTGATTTTTATTGTGATAATACTCCTAAATGCTCAGGCACAGCTGAGAGCAGTACTAATATTCACCACATGCTACCTACAAAATTGCTGTGGTGGAAGCATGGGGTCCTTGCCCTGAGCACTTCATGGTGTCAGGGTTTTCAAGATGATTCGTTGCAGAGTTCTATTTGCTGGCTTTTATTTCTAAAATCATCTTATTCCCAAATGTTAATTCTCACAGTGGAATATCAGTTATAAATGCATATGTTACTGGGGTATTTTATCATACTTAAGAGGACTTCATAGCATGTCCCTCGGCAATTTGATTAAATGAAAGTATTCGTTTCCTCTTCTGGAAGGGAGAAAGCTGTGCAGTTTGGGTCTTGCTGTAGCAAACTGATGAAAGACTTACATAGAACTTAATGGAAAAATCTGGCAGATTTAAAAGGAAAATGTCATCTCCACCACACAACCCTCTGGGATGGTTCAAAACCAGATGAGAAGAGACTAGCATAATTTCATACCTCTGTATTTTGGGAGTGATTTCTTAAAAGCTGAATGTTATCTTTTCTGTGAAATTTTTGCCAGTGTTGAGTCAAAAAGACCTATTTATAATACTTCTGGGTTTAACACTTCACAGATCAAGGTTAGAGGCAAGAGTGATGAAAGGTGAAAGGATATGGGGAATCTGTTGCAATGGTGTATTCCTCTGTTGTATCACAGACAGGAAGCATGATTATGCACAAAGCATTTCTGGGGTGGAAAATGTGTCTCTTGAGCTCTCCCCACTCCCAGAGGCTGGATGGAAGAAATACCTTTTCAATGTTAAGGGAAGTGGATTTGGTGGATTCTCTGTCATTAGTTGTTTAGGCCAAGACTTGCTCTACTCAAGCCACATCTGTATGGTAGGTGAGACTGGATAAGATGGTCAGGGTGGTCCTTTTTGGCCTTCATGGTGCAGGAAAATCCTGCAAACCATTTGCATAGAACAGTGTCAGCAGGTATACTTTCATTTCTTGAGGCATTGTGAAAATTGTATAACATCATATGCTGACTTACAAATGATGAAAGTATTAGGCCCGTCTTCTACTGTGCTGATACAATGGAGGAATTAATTTTTAAAAAGTAATTCTGGTAAGTAAGCTGAAAGAGCACTAGAAAGTGCCTGCTATTTCAGACAGCGCAAGGAAGTCACTAATTGCTCTGAACTAACTTCACTGAAGTGCAGAGCAAGGGTACAGATAACACAAAAATGTATTAGTTGCTTTTGTTGCAATATAAAAGACTGCAGCAAGGGATTAGGTTTTTTCTGTTCAGCAAAGGAGGGGACTGTGTTTCTCACACACTCCTCTTGCTATAGTTTAAAAATCTCAAGATACGACAATTTGGCAGTGTCAGCAGTGTAGTTTGACACCACACGGAGTGGCACAGCACTGCCCCACTGAACGGTGTCCCAACGCCCTTTCAAGGCTGCCGCTTGCGAGCACGATGTACGCTGAGAACATTTTTATGGGAACATTCAGGCAAACAAACACAGATGGCTGCAATTGCCCTCCCCCCTCCCCTTCCCTGGTGGGTAATCGGCACTGGTATTGAATTACATAATTATTGGGGGTAATACTGTATTATCAGGTCAGGCAAGTTCTCTTCGTGAAGGTTCACCTAGTAAGCACTGCATGGTGATAGATGAGTTTTGTGTTACTTCACATTGCTTGGGACTGGCGCCAACCAAATCACCTCCTGACTTGTGTGCCAGGTAGTCAGTCACACCCAGGCTATCTAAAGCTGTGCTTGCCCGGGCCAGTCTTCTATGAAAACAGCTGGGAATGATGCCATATCAGCCGTGTTCCCGCGAAACGGCAGATGAAAGCGGCTAGGGAAGCTCAGCCGCGCTTTGAGTACGGGATGGTACTTCTGGCACTCGCAGGGAAGAAAGAGCGAGGGCCAGGAGGAGGCTGGGGGGCGAGCGGGCGAGCCTGCAGAGCAGCCGCGGTCCCAGCACAGCGGCTGGCTTTCACTGGGGCAGGGGAGGAATGTGGGATGGTTCCCACAGCATCTCCCGGCTCCTCGCCCCTTCCAGCACCGCGTGCGCCGCGCTGGCTCCGACGGTACGGTCGGATGTTTGCTTGAGAAGCAGCTGTGGTGGTTTAACAAGTTACTGCTTGATCAGCTATTTGTTCCTGCTCCCCTCTGCTGAGGTGCAGTAACCGAATCCGTGGGCTCTTTCAGGCTGCTGCAGGGTGGAGGGAAACAGGCTTTGCTTCAAGTGTTTGCAGGTACGGGCAGCTGCCGTGTCTGAGTCGTGGGGGCAGAGATAAAGAGTTAAGGGGCAGCAACTTTTTAAGCAGAGACAGCTGTCTCCTAAACGAATGTCTGACTGTGCCATAAAAGACACTCAACACCATTAAACATTGGGCTGTCAGCAATAATTACAGAATGTGTTCACACTGTTTAAAAAAGCAAAAACTACGGAGAGGAAGAGAAGTGGCATGAAAATTCAAATGTGAAGAAACTAAATAACTACACTTGGAAAAATAAAGTGTTGCTTATGTGACTAGAGAGTGTTTTTTCAAAAAATCACAACTTCAGAGCAAATTTTGCCAGTAAATCTTTCATGTAGGAAGTGGGAGTGATAAAGAGAAAAAATGCTTGGCCCTTTTGCAGTTTGCCCCTTTCTTTCTCTCTCTTGGTCTTGAAAGGTAGGCAATCCCCACTTCAGTTTTGTAATGCTCATAGTTTAATGTACGTGAATGTAAATATAGCTTCACCTGTCCACTTCAGTGCACATATTAGAAATTGCAAGATACATCTGAACAGTGGAAGCTAAAGAGTCTGAAGTCCATCAGTCTATCTTCTAGTCAATGAGGGAACACCTGCCCTAGAGGAGTCACACTTTAGATATGTTTTTTATATCCATGGTCATCCCAAATAATGTCTCCAAGGGCTCCCAGTCAAAATAAATGTGGGTTCTCAAGTGGTTTGTGCTAGGTGTTCGCTTTCATTGCAAGGTCAGCTCTGAGTTTCTTTATCCTTGTCATTTTGCCCTGTGTAACTAAGCATCAATGGGAAGGTGTGATTGTAAGGCTCTTGAAGTGGATGCAGGAGGGGATGTAGTGCTACAAATGTATACTGTTTAAATGATTAGGTTTAAAACTGCTTCTGTCTCTCCAAAAACATTTCTAATGCTCTACAGCATTCTAGTTCCGATAACAGTAAAAAAAAAAAAAAATCCCCCACATTCCCAAACGTGTGCAAAATATGATGGAAGGTCTATTCATATCCTTTGGTTTGCTTGCTTAAGTAGCAGCACTTAGAAACACTTTTTGAGCATTGAATTCTTTCTGTCAACCTTATGTGGAGCCATTTGGAATCGTCTGTGGCTGTGCCTCCTGCCCAGCACCCTGGTGTTGGCACCTCTGTCACTGGGTGACACATTCCAGCTGGTTTTTAACACATTCACATGCACTTCAAGCAGACAACAGCTATTCACTTTGGCTGCACTGTGCCAGGTGCCAGCACCAGGTATCCACTCTCTCTGTACAGAACACACCTGGAGCAGAGCAGCCATGCATTGGCAGGACTGACAGTGCAAGCTGTTACAAATGCTTCTGGCGTGAAACCCTACGTGGGTACCCGCCTATGCCTGCCAGTGCCCTGCAGCCTCACATCATATCTTGCAAATGGTGTGCAGACTCTCTGAAGACTCTCTCAGAAGGACTCTTGGCTTCTGCTATGTGCAGCAGCAAGGATTTGGGAACAGTTTCTTATTGCTCTTTGAAGCAGGATATCTTCACTGGGCAGTACAACTGATGGCTTCATGCAAATAGTCTAGAAAGTGGTAAATCAGTATTAATTTACAAAATTAATACGTTACACAGAGAGCTGAACAAAGCTCGGCAGCTCTGCCTATAACCCCTTTGCACCTGAGGAACTGCTGAGTGACAAAATAAGCAACCTTCACTCTGCCCTTAGCGGGATACAATAGCCATGGTCCTCACCAGAATCTGCAGCGCAAGCCTTGCTTAGTAAGTTAACACTTGTGAATTTTTGTGCATAGGATGTCTAGCTGCAGGAAGATTTTACTTTATGGAACTGGAGCATTATGTAAAAGTAGGTTGATCTTCCTGACCTAATAACACAGGTCCTGGAACTGAGGGTTATGTAGGGTCAGTCCTCCTGGTAGTTCCAGCCAGAACAGAGAGGTACAAGAGGTAAAATCTGTTATTAATTCTCAAGTATTTTATCTGCTTTCTTCTTCTGTGTTAATGCATCACAGGAAAACTCACGTTTCGCAAATGCCATCATCATTTTCTCGTGCAGGGCGGCTGGTTAAAATGTGGACTTGGAAAAGCACAACACCCCTTTAGTGCTTGCTAGGCTCCTCTGCTAGCACTGACGGTAAAGGATATGGTTTTCCTGCTGACTTCAGCGAGAGGCAGGGCTGTTGGAACAGTTTTCCCTGGCTGTGCTTTAGTCATATGCATTTCCACATGCGGCAGGGTTAAAAGATTCATTGCCCTTCCTGACTCTGCTTCACCCCAGTGTTTGAGAGCAGTGGTGGGGGGCAGCGAGGGAAAAAGGAAGGCATTAATATACAACGAGAAGCTGAAATCAAAAGGCCAGCCCGTGCTGCATGTTCCCACTTCTCGGCAACTGTGAGTCACACGCGTTAAACACATTTGTGCGCCGGTTGTGCGAGTTGTCCCTAGAATGCTTCAAACTTTTTATAGCTGCTCCCACTTGCTGCAGTGTCACCTGCTGGTGAGATCAAAGCACTCAATAGCACGCTCCCCCGCTCCATGCTCAACAAAGTCACCGGAGCCCTTGAAAACTCCTACAGATGTTTCCTCTCTGAAGACAAAAGGATATTTTTCTCCCCTCCCTTCCTCCTTCACACCAAAGAACAAATCCTATGCCTGGCTGAGTTTGTACCACCTCAGATTAATTGGCACTAATGCAAATGTTCGTGGCTGTGTGTGGGATGTTGCTGAGAGCATAATGGTTGTCGTATTTGCTTGCATGTGGTTACTCCACTTCAGCTGTGTAATTCATTGCTTTATAAAGTGCCTTACAATGCGCTACAGCACAGGAAGCTAATCATATGCCGTGGCAGACAATACAGCAGAGATTCAGAGTTACTGCAGGTCTCTTAAAGGCCCGTGCCCTGAAGTCCCCAGTCCTTTTTCATCAAAAGTCCCCCTCGAGTGAGTGTCTATTTTGCCACCTGGAACAAACTCCTAGAACTGCCAGAATGTCTGGAGCTTTTCTGCTGGCTCCTCGTGGGATTCCCTTTCATTCCTTTTCAGTCTAATTCCTCTTCCCTTCACTCCCACCCGAGTTTCTCTCCCTCTTTTTAGGCATCTTATTGGCAGGGTACTCCAGGCATAGCAGTATGAAGGTTGTACAAGAGTTTCCATTCTAAGGGGGTTATTTTGAGTTGCTTATGTTTTTGGCTGCAATTTTAAGCATTTGATACCAAGCCCAGAAGCAATTTTTTAATTGGAAAGTGTAAGCTGAGATAGGTACAAGAACAAAGATCCCTTAAAAGACAGTACTTCCGACTGTGTAATTTTAACAGATCTCATAGATGTGGGGATGGATTGGTGTTTGGTTCTGCAGTATCTTTTGGCTCTTCTTGTGCCCTTGACTGTTACTGGCTGGTAGTCACAGGGTGTTTTTTGTGCATGCAGACTCTGCTCTCTTGGTACCAAGCTTTGCTGCTACCAAGCTCTTGTCTCTAGCTTCCTCTAGAGAGGAAATCTCTCTCTCTCTCTCTCTCTCTTTGACCAATAAAGCATGGATGAAGAAGGGTGAACTCCTCTGCTAGACACTGACAATCTAAAAGCCAGCATCGAAGGAAGCAGTGAATTTGCCCAGTTGGTTGCACAAGTTTTTGCCTTGGTCTAGTTTGCTGGCCTAGCAGAAGCTGAACCATGTAGAAGTTCATAATTTAATTTGTTTTCTAAAAATGCACAAAATTCTATTAGAAACTCTACATGACAAGACTATCAAATTGCAAACACTCAAAGGCTAAGGAAATGACAAAATTGAGCTTGCCTACCCAGCCTTAATTCTGTTTCCTCGCTTGTATAGTTACAATAAAGTTTAATTAGATTGTCGCATATTATTTTGGGGAGCTGCTGGAGCTGGTCTCCCGCCTCATTCATTTTGCATGCTAATGCAGTGCAAGGCAGTTTTTCTTGAAACACTGAGGGCCGGAGTTTCTCACTTACTGCAGGGGCTGTATGATGTGTCATAAATAAGATTGGTGTTCATAGAAGGCAGGAGCTGTGAATGTAGAATGATAATGAAGAGTTTGGATAGTGAGAGAGTAACCACTTACTCCTTCACCCTGCCAGCCACCCACTGCTATTCCAATCCCTCTGGTCCGCAGCTGAGGACACCAAAGTGATACTCCCATACTGACCGCCTCCCCACCAAACTTACATATTCCCATGCTCCAGTTTCCTGGGAACCATTCAGGAGAAGATGTCAGGATGTTATGTGCCCTAATTCAGAGACCAATCCTGAGGGACATACTGACCCTCTTACGTGTCCTGTGGTAAATTACTGCTGTGGGAATGACAAAGGCTGCACATCTCACTGGGTCTTTTGCCTTAAAAATTAAAATCTTGCTGTGTGGTTATTCATAGAGAAGTTTCTTCATAGATAAACACTCTAAGGACAAGTTCACTTTTCATTCTCAGGCAGTGGTAATTGTGAAAATCAGTTTCATGCAATAGAGTTGATTCATATTCAGGTAGTCATTAACCATTCCTGACAAATGAAAGGTTTGTGACCATTTATTTGATGGGTCAGCTATCTCTCTTGCCTGTTTGTATTTAAGAATAGCCATTCCACTTCTAATAAAGATTGTGTATTTCCCTCCAGATTTTTTTTCTGTTTATTTCTGATTGGTTGTAAGTGCCGGAGTGAGTTTTCCTTTTAGCTGCAAATGCTACTCTTTGAAATAGAAGTGCATGACTGTAGAACTTAAGTGTAATAACAAAAGGCAGTCTCTGCTCCTGTAATTTCACTTGCCTCTTTCCCATGTTCTTCTGCAACTGTAGCAAAATGCTGAATAGCTTTAGTATTTCATCTTCAGAAAGCTAGGAAATACAGCCAAGGACACTAAACCACACTGAAATGAGAATGGACTCCCAGAGCACTGAAAAATGTTCCAGTTCTTTTAGGTTCAACCAGCCCTTTTCTGTTTGTTGCTTCAACTTATGTAAATTATTAGAGTTCAAGTAGATTTAATATTTATCATCCAAGACAGGAAGGGTCAGCCCTCCTTTCTTCTACATTCCCTCTACTGAAAAGTGTAATTTCAGTAAAATGTCAGCATTTGTGATTTAAATACATTTCAGCAAGAAGACTAGCAAATTGTTATTTCTGCTGTCCCTTCTCCAAAAGTGTTTCTAATTTTTTCTCTCTAAAATAGTAGGATCTAAGGAGAAAAGCAAGATGACTACAGTTGCTACATAGCAAGGCTTAAAATCTGTTTCCTTTTTTAAAGCTCTTAAGGTTTTTCAGATTTTTTGGACAAATTCCTGAATAAAGTACATCACATTAGTGATGGTGACCTGTGACTGTCCAGCAAGATCCCTCCATGAGCTCTCCTTTTTAAGATGAGATCTCGAGATGAAATAATTTACTTGTTCATTATTATTTGAAGATGTCGCTGTTTGCAGTGAAAGGATGTGTACACCCCATTGTGCCCCACACTGAGCGTCATGTATTCCTGTGATCTCTCCTTATTTCAGGAATAAATAAGAACAAATAGAAACTTGTAAAGCTAGGTCAATATAAGAGCCAATCTTAACCCTTGACTTGCTTTGCTTTTGAAAAACCGAATCTTGGACTGTTCTGGAACATGATGGATTGTCATGCTAACATTTTCTGGTAGCAACATTAGTTCCTGCAGAATATAGGTTTTTATTAGAGAGCTACCCCAAGCAGTTACAAATATTGCAGTATTCAAGGAGCAGGTGCAGCACTACTCTACCAGTGGTTAATTAGTGTTTTGAAAAGCAATTCTATGCTATTCCACCCATTTTCCAGGCCTCATCTCTTCAGACTCATCAGACACTTGATTTCCTTTAAGGAAATGAGCTCAATTCATCAGGTTTTAGAATATGTAGGGTGTTCTGGCTATCCATGCATCCATCCACAGCTTTTTGATGACCACCTTCAGCTGTTCTCACATGTTTTTGTTGTGCAGGCTTTGTCCTGTAGTTTTGGTATCACAGAGGACTGCTAGACTTTTCTTGACCACCTTTCCTCATTCTTGCTTTCTCATGGGTTAGTCCCAGATGGACAGGTCCTCTAGGGCTCTTCATTTACACTCACTCTAGTGAGTGAAGTTCATAGCAGAAGTTCATCCATCAGTACCTAAAGGGGGTCTACAAGAGACCTGGTGAGATTTTTTTTTTTTACAAGGGCATGTAGTGATATGAGAAGGGGGAATGGCTTTAAACTGAAAGAGGACAGGTTTAGATTAGATGTTAGGAAGAAATTCTTTACTGTGGAGCTGGTGAGGCACTGGAACACATTGCTCAGGAAAATTGTGGATGCCCCACATCCACAACTGAAGTGTTCAAGGCCAGGCTGAATGGGGCTTTAAGCAACCTGATCTAATGGGTGGCACATTTTTTGTCATGTTCACTATATCTCACTGCTTTAAGATGTGGTGCACAACCTGTAGTCTGTCCCCTCATGCTGGGCCTTGCAGGCAGCTACTGGAGAGTAAAAGGAGAGGTCTTCAGGAACACTTGACATGATGAAGGAGGTTGTCACAAAAGAAGGGGCTCCAATGGTAAACAGAGTGGCAGACTATTCTTGCAGATGATCATGCTAGATGTTCTACCATTTATGATCTAACACTCTTGCCTTCTTACCCATTGGATGATTTGATTAACAAGAGGATTCATGGAATGTTGTGCATGGGGAGAAAAGAAATCTGAGATGTCTGTCCAAGCCAAAGTCCCTGCATCATTTTGACTCTTCTAGAAAGATGGTGGTAGGCAGGAAAGTTTCACATTTCTTCCTTGTATTCACTTCCTTAAAACAACATATTAGGGCCTTATTAAAAAAAAAAAAAAAAAAAAATCGAAAATCCATTAGTTCTCTCACTGTTTTTTGTTTTCTGAAGACTTCTGTATTTTCATTTTGCTTGAACACTTCAGCTGCTCTCAGCCATTTCACTCTCAGTTTGGTGGCCCTCTCTTCTTCTCCCACAAAGGTCCATTGCTGTCGTGTTTGTGTTTCCAGGTCTGCAGAGACAGCCATTACCTTAAAATACAAGCAAAGCAGATGTTGTCTTCTGCTAGACCCCATACTGTAAGGAAACTCCAGAGAATGCAAATAAATAAATATTTCTGTGTGCATTTGTCCATCTGGGATCATCACAGCTTGCAGAGGTGAAGGCTATGCACGAGGGAGAACTGGCTGCACTCAGTGCCACAGCTGGGCTGGCCAACTTGTGCATGCAGGGGCAGCGCAAAGGAAAGAATTAAAATCAATTGCAGGCAACATCTTATACTTCCTTCTTAACCTGCTGCATCTGGGGAAGCTGGGGAAGGGAGCCAGTGAGTGGAATGAGGAGATGCACACAGACAGCTGCAGGGTGCAGGAGGAAACAGTGTTTGGGAAG